GTCAATATGCCAAGAAGGAAAACAGGTTAAAATTAATGGTTTGAGTCCCTCTGTTTCCAGCATCTATTTCCCATCTCTATATACCATACTGGCAGTGTCACCAGTGGAGACAGCCCCAATGGAAACACTCTCCACACCCAGCTCCCCACAGATTCTCTAGTAACCTGATCCTGCAAATACACAGGGCAGAGGATGCACAAGAGAAAAATCTGTTTACCTTAAAAAGAGATCCTCCACTTTCATTAACATCTCATACAGTGCTCACCATTTTATTTGTGCTCACATAACCTTATTCCTAGGCTCTAAAATAAATCATTTCAGGGTCAAATGGTTATAGCCCTTCCACCAATGGCAGGGAAATTCATATTTCATATACAAATGGTACTGATGCAAAGGATACCCTAAGAAAGAAGTGAATCTTTCCCAACTGATCTCTGCTCACTTCACCCACCACCGCTTACCCCCAAGAAATGGGGAAGAAAAAAATTCTTAAAGGTGGATGCTTTATATGTAGGCGAATATAGAACATGAGATTCTGCAAAGATGAAAATGTTTTTAGCAGCACACGAAGGCCAATGATTAGCTCATAACCCATCTAAAGGCATGTGTAAGGTTTACCTGAAAATGGATGGTTTATTTCTGCTTTTCCATTGGTGAATATACCAGGGTACTAAGCTTAAATTTAAAAGGTGCCGGATAAGCTAGGACAAAGTGAGAGAGTGGCATGGACATATATACACTACCAAATGTAAAATAGATAGCTAGTGGGAAGCAGCCACAAGGCACAGGGAGATCAGCTCGGTGCTTTGTGACCACCTAGAGGGGTGGGATAGGGAGGGTGGGAGGGAGATGCAAGACGGAGGGGATATGGGGATATATACATACATATAGCTGATTCACTTTGTTATATAGCAGAAACTAACACAACATTGTAAAGCAATTATACTCCAATAAAGATGTTAAAAAAAAAAAAAGGATAGGTAGATTGAAAAAGCCTAGGTGGTAAAGCAGTTTTAAGAGGCTTAAAAATATCTAATTTATCTTAAAATTTTTTGTAATATCAATTCTAACAGATTCTCTCTTTAAGAAATTATTCCTCATAGAATATAAGTTTTGCACTATAGTCAATAATTTCTGTTCTTACTATAAAACATTCACATATGAGTAGTACAGCTGTACACTTAGTAGGCTTCTCATACATTTTAATATAGCAGCCAATTCAAACTCATTTATTAACATTATTAAAATGATTTTAAATTAAGCATAGGTAACTTTGGTTTAAATAAAGGGCATACATCGTGTTTACATTTTATTTTCAATTATGTAGTAATTCTGGAACTTAGGCACTGTGTCTGTACAATTTGTATTGTCTTATTATAATAGATTTCATCCCACTTTGCATAAAGAGAAAATAGAATTTTCTATAGACTGGAGTAACTCCCTAGAAGCCTGTTTTGGATTCATAGAATATTTGGTTTAGGCAGAAAGAAAATACACACAACATGTTCATTTGAAAATGACTAGTCACACTTGGTATTACTCTAAAGGTAAATATAATCAAGATATAAAGACATTTCTGGACCCGATTATTTTATTAAAATGTATAATCTTTTGTGATGTGTTTCTTCTGGTTCATACTATTATATAATGATTTTAATTAAAAATAAAAATGTTTTTCTTTTATTAAAAAAAAAAAGTGCCATGGTAGGAAGAAACACTAGAGTACAGAAGCAAACAAAGCCAGAGAGGTTGGGCTGACCTGGTAACTTGCTACCCATCAAACGCCAGTTAGGAATTTCCAGAGAGTAGAGAATCTATGCTACTTTCAAGGCTTCAATTCTAAACCTAAATTGTGCTGAATTTCAGAATCTCCTTCTAGATGGAAAAGAAAAAACAACAACAAAGGTTTCCAGACCTCGGGTGTTTAAAGGGCCTTCACACAGTAAATCAACCTACTGCTGTCTTGTTTTCTCCACAGCCAGACTGAAATAATACAGTGTCAGCAGAGGTGTGAATTACCTCCATTCACCTTAATGGAGTGTTAACTTCAAAGGCTTGTTTTAACCATTTAAATGCTAAGCTCATGAGTAACATTCTGTTAAAAAAAAAGGTACAATTTAAACATTCACCCTCAACATATGAAAGTAATTTATATTCTCAGCACTTCATCTTCTAATTTAGCAAACAAGTCTCCAAGTGTTAGAAAAATATAGATTTTGTGCTTTACTTAGTTTTATTTTAAATAGTTATTACCTAATAAATTATGAACATTAAGCCCACAATAAGAAGGCCTGTATTTCCCAGGAAAAATGCTGAGGAGTACTTGAACAAGGTTTTATTTGAAATCCTGATGAAGGGGGCACTGCTTTTACCAGTCATCTTACTAGCTTCCTCCAAACTCATAGGGAAAGTTATGACTCCAAACAGGCAACTAGATAAGGCAGAATATTAAAGTAAAATAAAAATAAACACCTCTCCAAATAATTTCTTTTGATATTAACTAAGTTTCATGCAGCGTTCAATAGGTTTGCCAAACCTCCCATGATCCCATCCCACGAGCAGGTGACAAATGTATTAATTGATGCCCACCTGTCATCACACTTAACATCTGCCCCAGGAGGCATCCTTGCATCTGTTGCAGATTTAGGGCTATTTTGGTATTAGGAGTTAGATTTATTTTAGCAGCTGAACACCTATTTGTATTTGGATCTGTAATTTCCCATAGAAATGTGGGAAAGCATTAAAAAGAATGCACATGGGGCCAGTTCTCCTGTGAGCGAAGGCTAGAAAACGATTCTAAACATATTAGTTGTGCAAGATGGAAGATGAAGAAATTCCATGTCCTCGTCTGAAAGCAACTTCATTTTACAGGTCTAGATGAAAGGATGGGGAAAAAAAGGGGATAAACATCTAATTTATTAAGAGCGCCTATTTTGGTCTGCACCTAATTTATGCAAGGTCATTTAATCCTCTCAACACAACCCTGTATAATTGGTATTAACTCCATTTAATACCTATGTGAAAGTAGAGGTTTAGAGAGGTTAAGTGGTTTGCCTAAATTCACTGAGATTTTCATCTAAGTCTTTCTAACCCCCAAACCTGGACCTTTTCCATTACACTATGCTGATCTCAAGTTGCCAAAGAGGAAACTTAACTCAGTTGTCAATTTTTCAGCCCATTTCCTAAGGGGGAAGCAAGGGGGCACCAGCAAAAGTGTGCATTTCCATACATGCAAATTGGCACTTTGCATGTAATTCTCTACTTTACATGTGTGCAGGGGTAGGATTACATTTTTACTGATACACCCTGGCTTTGGTAGGCTGCTAACAAGGTGCCCTTTACAAGAATACTCCCTGGGGCAGTAGGGGAGGGAGGCACCTAGCTCCTGGTTTCCAACCAGGAATAAGCCACATCAATGTGAAGACTGGAACGATCTATAACCTCCAAACAAAGTATGACATAAATCATCAATATTTGTCTCTGTTCGCCAAGTAGAAAGTCACATGTTTTAGTGACAAATGAGAACGCTCAGAGAACTTTCAAATCCACAGCCAGTCATCACAGCTCTATCTCATACTGCACGACAGAGGAAAATCACAAAAGTTTCTTAGGATTTGGAGTCAGGGCAAAATACCAAGTGAAATAATCCAACAGTTTTGTTATTGGTGACTGATGTTGACATTAACCTACGAACTAAAATTCAATTTTGTATATAAACAATATACTGATTTCTTTAAAAACAAAAAATTGTCTCAATATATTTAATAACATTAAAAACTTCTCTGTGAAAGATGTTGTTAAGAGAATGAAAAGGCAACTCACAGACTGGGAGAAAATCTTTGTGAAACACATATCTGATAAAGGACTGGTGTCTAAAATATACAAAGAATGCTTAAAACTCAACAATGTAAAAACAGCCCAATTTTAAAAATCTGAACCTCACCAAAGGAAATATACAGATGGCAAATAAACATGTGAAAAGATGCTCAACATCATATGTCAATAGGGAAATACAAATTAAAACAACAATGAGATACAACTGCACACCCATTAGAATGGTGAAAATCCCAAACACTGACCACACCCGATGTTGGCAAGGCTGTGGAACAACAGGAACTCTCACACATTGCTGGCAGGACTGCAAAATGTTACAGCCACTTTGGAAGGCAGTTGGGCAGTTTCTTATAAGACTAAATATTCTACCATACCATGCATCAATTGCTAAAAAATAGTCTTTGGTATTAACCCAAATAAGCTGAAAATTTCTGTCCACACAAAAGTCTGCATACAAATGTTTGTAGCAGCTTTATTCACAAATGCCAAAATTTGGAAGCAAACAAGAGGTCATTCAACAGGTGAATGGAAAAACAAACTGTGGTACATCCATACAATGGAATACTGTCAGTGAAACAAACTGTGGTACATCCATACAATGGAATATTGTCAGTGATTAAAAAAAAAGAGCTATCAAGCTATGAAAAGACACGGAGGAAACTTAAACACACATTGCTAAGTGAAAGAAGCCAGCCCGAAAGGTTAGATACTATATGATTCCACCAAATGACATTTTAGAAAAGGCTCATGGGGAATGCTCATGGTGTTTATGGAGACAGTAAAAAGATCAGTGGTTGCATCAAAAGTGAACCCTACTGTAAACTATGTACTTCAGTTAATAGTAATGTATCAAAGTTGGCTCATCAAGTATAACAAATGTACTTCACTAATGCAAGATGTTAGTAATGTGGGACACTATGGGTGTGCTGGAGTGAGGGAATATATGAGAACTCTCTGTACATTCTGTTCAATTATTTCTGTAAACGTTAAAACTACCCTAAAAAATAAAGTCCGTTAATTAAAAAAAAACCACAAACAAAAGATGCTCAACATATTTAAGAGCATTCTGAGTTTCTTATTTTGATTAAAACTGCTATGTCTACTTTCCCCTACCGACTCCTGTTTTGTTCTGCTTTTCTGTCAATGTTTGCAAAAATGTTAGGCCATATAAAGAGGATCATCCAAGGTGCCTTCCAGAATAATTCCTTTTTGCATTTGGAGGTAAATCATTCAGCAAAAGACGTGGGAAAAGATTTCTTTCACTTATTAATCCAATTAAAAATAATGAGTGCTAAACTAAAATTACCAACCAAAATACCAAAGATGAGCAAAACAAACGCCTGTGGAAATAAGGAAAAAAGGTAAAGAACAATTAGCGCATTATTTTAAACCTTCACGTGCTCCAATAATGTACATTATAGTTCAAAATACATTAACTTTCGTGAGGTAGGTAAAATACTTAATTATAAAATGACAAGTTATTTCTTAAAATAAGATTCTTAAAAGAAACAAACAAAAATCAACCTACCCCCAACTTTTTCCATGAGAGAAAATCCTCTCTGCTCAGTTTAAGATAAAACAGTCCCGGGAACACAAAAATCAAACATGTTGATGTACTGGAACCTTAAAGTGGGGAGGAAAAGAAAATAATATTGCCAGATTCAGATGTGAGACTGGATGACAATTTAATCTATTTTAGAAAATGGAATTTTTGAAATAGAAAACTTACCAACTACACCAAGTACATTCCTAATGTCAGGAACATATATCGCAAGTAAAACAATGATAATATTGAGAGCTATAGTGATCAAAGAATGGCGAATCCATGAGAATGGAAAATTGGAGAAAAACATCATCATTAAAGCTTTCCTTGCCTGTATAACAGAAAAAGATTTAAGCAAAGAGGAGGTAACAAAGCCAAACTACTTGCTTAGGGAAACACATGTATGGTACAGTTACCATGATATTCTTGCCCTCTAAACCATTTAGATTCCAAAAATATGGCATAAACTATTACTGTAAGGTATTTATTGCACAAAAACTGAGAAATATACCTATCTGTGTGAGCTTCATAAAAACTGTTTTGATTTTATTCTTGAAAAAATTTTCACATGCAATTTCTTTCAGTTGTATAATGTTCAAAATTACCAACAATAACACTTTGTGAAGAAATCACAGAGTATCATTTTCATGAAATTCAACAGATAAAAGAACAAATGGTTTAAAACAGAAAAAGAAGTCAAGGCATGATAAAGAAATACCATTTGCTGTTTTATGTTATATTATCTGTTTCACAGCATGTAAATGTGAAAACTAGTTCATGATGCTCTCTACTGCTAAGGCGGGCAACAGGCAGTCCTGTCCCACAAGCATTTACCCAGCCCCCGCTGCACTCCTGGTGCTGCAGTCCCCGCAGGGAGGAGGCCCCAGTCTTAAGGAGCTCCCCGTTCAGGGGCTCAAGTCGTCCACTAGAAGCATCTGTACCCAAAGCCTATGATTCCATTCTCCCAGAAATTCTCAAGAGTCTTACATATGGCAACTAAATGCCGAGTGATGATCTGCTGTGCCCCTTAAACTATAACTCTAGAGCAAATAAAATCCGTGACTAAGATTAGACTAGAACGTCTATGTGAAAATAAATTTCCAATAAACTAGAAGGAGCTTATTTTTGCTGACTTGACTTTTTCCTCTTCACGCACATTCTTTTGAAAACAGAATACAGAATTAAAAGGGGAAAAAAACCCCAAAAACCTTTAGAAGAACTATAGTCTCTAAATTGGAAACAATGCTGTGGGAGAGCGTAAATCTAAACTAAATCTGAAAAAGCACAAATTAGTTTAGCGGTTCACTGTTATTTTTGTGCTTTCATGGGGCCATAGGCAAGTATGAGGTCTTTGATCAATTACTGGACAAATGAATAAGATATACAAGACTAGATGTGATTCAAACATTCTAGTCTGTAAAGAATTAGTGTTGCCATATTAGGGAGCTGCTACACCAGGCAACAAAACCTTTAAGAGTACTTACAGGGAAGTGGATTAGAGGGACTGTCAAAAGCACAGCAAATAGTATGCATAACTTCACAGTCATGACGACAACATCATGTGGCAAGTATTTACTATAACCTTGTAGTAATTCTGACGCCACACTGTCTGCAAATTTAAAAAACAATAATAAGGATCACATTATAAACTACTAAGATGTTAATAACAGTAACATTATTTTCCTTTGCACAAACGGATCTTAACAGATTTTGGATTCCCGGTACCAAATCCATCTCTGGCCTTTTTCCTATCCTATGAAACACAGAGACATTAAGTAAGTATCTTCTGGAAACCTACAGTGTTTTCTTTTAATGAAACTAGAAATTGGCCCAGGCAGAATCTCTAAAATTATGACAATGAATATACATTTAAGAAAATCTCTTTAGAACTTTTCCATAATCTGAAGGTTTTGAACAACACTTTTATAAAGTGCTTTCATGTATACTACTGAATTTGGTCCTTATGATAACAATATAAGATAGGTAGCTAGGCTAAAAATTATTAACTGACTTGCCCAAGATCATACAGTACAAAGGGGCAGAGCTGGCAGAGCTGTACTCCCAAATTGTTTTGATGTCAAAGCCTTTCCTTAATATTGCAATGTTTTCTAGGATCTTATAGTTTTGTGCATGCTACCTGCTTCATCAACATTTCATCTATAGATTCATCTTTCATAAAAGAGAATGCTTCCTTAGCAAGGATAATGGCTTCCTTAGCAAGGGTAATGGCTTCCTTAGCAAGCCAGTGTGGTAGTCAGTGACAGAATCTGAACAAGCTGACCATGCTTTGCTCCCTGGTGTTCTTCTATCCTCACGTCTTCCTCACTCCAAGCCAGAGGAGGGCTATTAAGAGTGAGAGTTCTCAAGAACACTCCATGTCACTGCCTTGTAGGGAAAGATGAGTTTGTACTTAAAATAGAATTGTGGGGTTTTTTTTGTTGTTGTTTGTCTTTTTAATTTGAGACCATACAGTTTGGAAAAGTCACTTTGGAGAAAATAAAAATACAAATCAAATACACCTCTGTTTTCAAATACTTTAAAATTTAAAGGGGAGATAAGATGAAGACACACACATATAATAGAAAGTGTGTAAACACAGACACACTTAAGCGGAAGAAGAAGGTCTAAACAAAGAGCTATGGTGATTCTGAACAGGGAAAGATAACTATGGCTTTGGGATGAACATGAACGAAATCCAAGAAGACTTGAGAAGAGTCATCATGATATAGTGAGCAGCAGGGTAGTAGAGGGGCTTGAATTCTGTGATCAAACAGTCTAAGATTCAAATCCTACTCTTACTAGCAACTTAACTTCTCTGAGTTTTTACATTTGTAAAATGTGGACAATAATATATTGACCTACAGAGTTACTGTGAACATGACATGACTTAATGTATGTGTGCTGACATTCAAAAGATGTGGGGAAGAAATTCTCTCTGGTAGCAATACGCAACCGAGAAAATGAGCAGCCCAATAGCACTTCAGAGGCTGAAAGACTGTGTGGTAGAGAAAAGAGAGTAGTGGGTGATAAGGCTGGAAATGCATTTAAGACCAGTAACAGAGCTCTTCTTAGGGTCTGGACTCAATCTGGTAGGCCACAGAGATGCAATGGCTTCTGAAGAACAGTGCATTATGACCTGAACTAAGCAGGAAGACAAATTGGAAGAAAAAGAGGCCCAAAACAGGAATAACAGTTAGAAGGCTACTGTCGTAACCACTGAGAGGTAATGAGAATTTGAACTAGATTAGTAATAATGGAAATGGGATAGAAACTAATTGTTGAAAGTATCAAAGACATACTTGATATAACGTGGGACTAATGGACCAAATAAGAGATTAAGAAGAGCCAGGAAAGCTGGATTCTAGTCCCAAATATGTGAGATACTTGTGACTCTTTGGAAAAATATAGCAAACTATTTTATTTCCACTTTATGAATCATAAAAATGAGCTATTAACACTGCTTAAGAACTTTGTAGACTTTTAAAATGGTCTGGTTATTATGCAACATTTGTGTATTGGCCTGGTTTATCAGAGGAACACTTTTTATTCCTTACCTTATAAGGCTTTAACATCTGTAATCAGAGCCAATATTATTAATCTAGGTACATACTTATTGGTCCCTTTAATCTGATAAAATTTAGATATTAACTAAGCCTTGAGAGCACTGAATGAAAGGATCCCAAGCAGCTCCAGAAGCCTGAAGAACTAGATTATAAATTCAAATTACCTGTTACATGTCTACTTTCTACTTTCCCAAGACAAAAACCTTTTTCCTGAGCCAGTCAATTCTGTGTTCCTAGATGAGCCTTATGCAAGGGATAGAGTGCAACACACTTCTCTGCATTCAGACAAATCTCTACAAATCTCAGGAAGAACCTGATGGTGATCTCTGCAAGTTATATCTTCTATTGAAGTCAGGAGGCTGCCCTGTTTAATACACACTGTCAAACAGGGGATGAAGTTTATAAAGATTATCACAGAGTAACAGAAAGATCACTGGATTAATATTCAGGAGACATGCCACTAATTGTGAGACAGGTCACTTCACCTCTTGGACTTAAGCTACTCACCTATAAAATGAGTTGAAGGCGTTAATTTGTGACAAGCCCTTCTGATAAGGTCTCAAGCTCAATCAGCAATTTCTTTCTGTAAGACTGAGAGCTACTGCTATTCCAATAGAAATATAGTGTAAAAGACTTTCAACCCAAAAAAGAAACACTGTGAATAGCAAATCAATATCTGAATCTTCTTCTGTCTTTGGAGAAGGAACTTTTATATCATTCTTTCTTTCTTTCTTTCCTTCCTTCTATCTATCTATCTATCTATCACCTACTTACCAGCCTACCATGTGATTTTCTTAGATCTGTATTTCTCCATTACATAAAGCGTGGCTATTCTAAAGAATCTGCATCAGTGGAAAAGGGCTAAGTCAGAGACAACAGCTTTACTTGATAACCAGGAAAATGCCTGTGTAGGAAACATTTCACATACATGATGAAAATATTTAGCCTCTGTGTTAAGGCAAAAATAGATAGATAGATAGATAGATAGATAGATAGATAGATAGATAGATATGCCTGGAGCTTAAGTGAGCAAGGTTTTTCCAAAAGTTCACTTTGCAAAAAACTTGGAATGAAGGGAATCTGGATTCTGTGGCATAATTCCTGAGGAGGCAGCACAGTAATAAAGGCATTGACTCTGGAAAGAGTCAGAATTGGATACAAATCCCAACTCATTATTCATTAGTTGCAGGTACTGGCCAAAGTGCCCAACCTATCTGAGCCTATATCTTGCAGAGTCATCATAAGGACTGAGTTAGGCAATATATATAATAAAACACCTGGCACGTACAGAATAAATGTTAGCTCAATAAATGCATTAGCATCCATCCTTCCTCCACATCCCTTTCCATCTAAGTTTTCTTATAATTTAACATAGCTTCTAATATCTCGTGGTAATATTTTTGCAACTACTTTTCAGCTGTCCTGGAAATTGGTAGGCCATTTGAGGTTTCTTCCAGATAGCTCTATTGATCCATAGGGAAGAAAAGGAGGTCCATTTTTTGGACTTTTTCTCAATTTTGGAAGATCCCTAAATAAAATAGTATTTGTGCCAGGTGATGATTTCAATTTATAAAAATATACAGCTATTCTACTAAGTTTTTGCTGAATCCCAACAAAGACCCTGCTGTAGTATCTCATTGTTATAGAAAAGCATCACTGTGCTCAACTCTGTACGAAGACAAACGCAACAAGCAAAAATAGAGTTTATGCATTTCAAGAATTTTATTTCCTTAACAATGATTAAAAAAGTTTAACCATCTGCTTTAACTTTCCCTGTAGTGTATCCATGCTCATGTTGGAAGTAGGAAGTAACGCTCTTCTGGATGGTGTGTACAGAGCTCTACCACTCTTATTCAACATAGTACAAAAATGCAAGAGCAGATTTAGATTCATCAGTCACCTTTATTAGTGTTGAAATGACACAGAGTTAGCAAGAAAAGGACTATATAGAGCAATTATAATTTTCTCACACACTGAAAAGTCTAAGATAATACACTGATAATAATATACTGAAAAGTTACCATATTTAAATTAAGTTTCATTAATGACAGTAAGAAGAGAAGTACAGTGCTGAAAAAAGAGCACCTGAAATTATGAAAATTGCAATAATAATGGTAACAGTGATGATAATACACCACTAGCAGTAGCTCTCCTTTGTGGAAGATGGCTGTGTGCCAGATACTGTAACAGGCATTTTCCATATAACTTATTTCCTCTTCAATATAACTCTATACAATTATCCCTGTGTTACAGATTAGGAGATGAAGATAGTACAAGGTGAAGTACCCTGGTTCAAGGCCACACAGCTGGTTAGAGCACAGTGGTTTTTTGAATCATATTTGTTGGGTTTCAAAATTCATACTCTTTCCACTGGGCTTAGGAAAGGTAGGTAAGCAAAGCACCATTACAAGCCATCGTGAATGTCTAAAACCTGAAACACATGCACAAGGCCACTGACGGTGAAATTAGAGTCATAACAGCTAAATATCACAAAAGTAACAATAGCCATCTACCTGGAGCGTTGTTATAGGGGCATTCATAAACTGAAAAGTGTATTCAAGGATTTGACAAACTGAGTGCAGTTTGTTATAATGTGTTTGTTTGCAAATTAAACAAGTGCGTTTGCAAATTTAACAAGAGAGCTTACAATTTTTTTTCTTGTTCTAGACTTTTAAGTTTTACTTTTTCTTGAGGTTCTTACCAGAAGAGAAAAAAACTCATCAAGCACATAACTTTTCAAAAGTAAATAAAAGAAAATTTTACTTTTATTTTATGAATTTAAAAGAATCCTTTAAAAATTTAGAGAGAAAGTTCATGGCAAAGCACAGAATACACACTGCAGAACTGTGTGAATTAAATCTAAAGGCAGAGGTCTCTGACATGAGGGTACAACTATAGTCCAGGTAAAACCCTTTCCTTTCTCAACTTGTTCGTTTGCAATTAAGATGACTGATTCTCTCAACCTCCCAAACTGCTGAACTAGAGTCTAACATATTGAATTCTCAATTAAAAAAAAATAAAATCATTATTGCACTTTTTTTTTTTCTCGTAGAAAGACTTCAATGTTTCTAAGCCCGAGATTTTACTTGGGTGTTTAAGAAAATTTCCATATGAAGTTATCAATCTTGAATTTGATCCACCTTTTTAAGAGAAGGAAAATCAGTTCTTTAAGGCCCGTAGAGCCACCACAGTGGTGCACTGAATTCTGGCAGCCTGAACAAATTAACTTGCTAATGAAAGGCAGAAACAAAGTCCATATTCAGGTGTGAGATCAACTACAGAACAATTTATTTTGTCATCTATAACGAAATAATATACTTACCATAAAAAGTGAGGTACCCAAAGAGTGCAGATATAAAATAAATGAGAAAACTTAAAGCAATTGCTGTATTGGTTACATTCTGCATCCTTTTCTTAGAAGGTCTAAAAGAAAAAAAATGGTAAAATTAGAATCTGTGATCTGAATTATATCTAAATAGATAAATATCTCCCAAGCTATTCAAAAGGATTCCTTAATCATTCAAGACCTAGTTCTCTAATAACTACACACTACAATTCTTGATTTGAAATTACTGCACAAAGGACTATACTTCAAAGAAACATTCTCAACTTAGAACTAAGTCTTGGTTGTTTTGTTTTGTTTTAAACTAACACCTACAATCCAGTGGTGGGATGGAAGGATTCATAGAGGAGAATGTTATTCAATCTGAAAGTCCTAGAAGTAAAAAGACATACTAATACATTTTAAATATTCCAGGATTCTGTAGTACCTTTGAAGTTCACAGTATATGGGCAATATTGAGGTGTGGCAGAGAAATGAAAAAGCCATGGTTGGTATGGCATAAGCACTCTGAAAAAAAAATTTTTTAAAGATGAAATTATTAAATGCTACTCTGTTGAAACCACTACTTCATTTGACAATAAAATCAGTTCTCCAAAAAAAAAATCAATTTAGTTAAATTTCTTTCATGTTTCATGAATCACCTGTTTATAAAATAAGAGGTTGTTTTTTGGTTTTTTGTTTTTAACGAGACACACAGTTATGGTCCCCAGTAAATATTTTACTTGATAGCTGTATTGCCCACACTAGTGAAAATATTTCTTGGCTGCTTCCACACCAGGTTGGTTTTACTACAATCATTGCTGCTTCTATATTGTATCAGTAAGATAAAAATAATTAAGGTAAGATAAATAACATTTAGGTAAGATGAAAAATAATAACATTTTAGAAATGATCTTATTGTAATTCTCAGTCTTTCCTAATGCATGTATTAGGAAACTCAAAAACATCTTATTACCCTAAGCAGCAATAATAGTTAATGCTTTTGAACCTGCTTTCACCAACTCAATTCAAGTACCAACTTAAGAGAATACTGAATATATTAATCACATCTTAGCATCTATAACTAGGGTCTCTTTTGATGGGAATGAACATGATTTATTCTAGACCAACAAATTCATAGAGATCCACTGGAATATATGAACGAAAGTTGTTGTTTTTTTAAAATTAGAATAGTTAAGAACCAGAGAAAGTTACAAAGCAAACAACAGTTACCATCTAAATGAAAACACTGTCTTTACAAAATAGATGGTAATGATTTACTTTCTCTTTTCTACTCTAAAAAAATTTCTCCTTAACTAACTTAAGGCTCTTCAGCAAAAGAAGTTCCAGATGACTGTAGATCTATCTTCAGACACAAGGCCTCTTAAAATATCAGAGGAGAGCTGGCAGGAAGGAAAGCTGTAGCATTTCCCAAGGCTAGATTAAGAGAATGAAATTCAATTCACAAATTCTCTTTCATATACTGCTCAGTTTCCTGGCTTGTCAATTACCCTACCTAAATCTTTAAGGCACGTGGAGGCCTTTACCATGTAAAAGACGTGGTAACCTCCCTTGTGGGGCCAGAGAGACATTTCTCATTTAAAAACTGGGGAATAAGGGAGTTCCCTGGTGGCCTAGTGGTTAGGATTCCAGGCTTTCATTGCTGTGGCCCGGGGTTCAATCCCTGATTGGGGAACTGAGATCCCATAAGCTGCAAGGCACGGCCAAAAACAAAACAAAACAACAATGGAAAAGAACTCTGGGGAATAAAAAGGAAAATTTTGCATGGAGTTATCACACTAAAATGCTACACTCATAGAGTTATACATGAGTAGTGGGGATTCTAGTATCTGGGACCTGCATTTTAGCAGAATCACAAAGTGTACATGAAGAAACCTGCAGCAACAAGGAACATATGGCTCTTTCAGAATGGTAAAGTAGAGATCATTCAGATCAGTTTCCTGTCTCCTCTGCTGATGCTCAGGGGCTTTTGCAGGCATTTCAAATATCCTAGCTCTCTCAGAGAAGGCAAGGGGGGACTTGGTCCTTCTGCCTCTGCTACAGGCATCATAAGTTTCAACTTTGGAATGTCAGCCAGAAGACATATTGGCAGTGCTCAATTGCTGGTCCAATGATGAGGCTGTTTAGCCACAGACCAAGGTTCTACTCACAGGGGAGGAGTTTTTGATATAATTGGCTACTTAGCTTTACAAGTCCAGAGGGCAACAGGAAGTCTGTATGCACAGAGGACTTTATTGGCCAGACCAGACATTCAGTAAATCTGTTCTTTTAGGCAGTGGCCCATTTAAAAAAGGCTCCATTTAAAGGCGTGCCAAAAAAAAGGTGGCCGTTTCATAATGTGCCACCTTCTGGTAAGCAGCCCTATACTTAGCACTTTCATGAAAATTAGTTAGTTATAGGTAAAAGACCTAAGAGACCCTGTTACACAAACCTCTTAAACTTGAAATGTGAAAAAACTAAAAGTATCTGTTGATAACTTACACACCTCTTTGGAGAAATGAAAGAGCTTTGGTTTACAAGCATCTGTAGCATTTGAAATCTGTTTAAGAGGATTGAGGGGAAAGAGAGAAACCAACAGTCATTAAAAGTTAGAATACATCAAAAAAACCAAGATGAATTTATTACTACTGGGCTTTCAAATAAAAATATTTCAAAACAAAGTTCCAAAGTGCAATATAGCCATTACTTTTTTATTAATTAGGAAAAAAATCATTATTAGTCATATTTTATTTTTCTTTTTAGCTTAAAATAAAAAGGAAGAAACTGAAAAAGAAACCAAACAAAACAATTACCTGGAAGTATTGCTCTACAGAATTTAATGTCAGAGGACAAGGGATGGACCATTTTTTGATTATTATCTGTAAGAATAAGTAGGATCAGATGATTTCTTACCAAATTCATGACAAGAAATTGATTTTAAATAGGTCAGTATCATTTCAATTAATCTAACACCATACCAAATAATATGCTAACTAATAAAAGATTCTTTGTTCATGTCATTTTCCCTAGATAGAATGGGGCCATCATCTGACACGGGCACCTACGGTGTGGGACAGCATGAGGGGCTGCATAGTTGTTTGGTGGAGATCTCCCCCACTGAAGACTGAGAGCTTTCAAAACTCCAATAGTATCAAGGCATTAAAAGAAAATCCAACTCAGAATGGGAACATGATGTTTTTAGTGACAATAGTACAAGAATATGGCCATCTGTGGACCTGGCATCAGTAGCAGACAGAGAAATATTAATAGCAGTTTTGGAAATGGTCACAGGTAGATGCAAAGGGGGAGGCTCAGGGATTTCTGATGCATGAGCACTGGCCCTCCTTGCCTTTTTCAGACTTACATCACTTTTGGTGAATGTGGATGAAGGTGGCAAAGGATAAGAGCACAAAGCTAAGGAACTAGAGCTGGTAAAAATGAATTTTTTAAAAAATTAAAAGAAATCCAGAGGGCTGCTATTTCCCAGAAACAATCAATGAAAATGTTTCAGGATTTTACTCTTAATCGTGGCCATCCTGTTCCTAGACCTACAGTTGAGTTGGTCAACATTACCACTGTTGTAGTTGTTTCAGGGCACATAATAACTCTGTAAATACTTGCTCTAGGCTGAAACCCAGCATTCAAAAGGGCAAGGGAGAATAAAGGAAGCATCTGTCCTTTGCAGAAGACCTGTAAGTAAATATTATACTATGCCTATTTGGTATTTATCTAGTTTTAGATTTTTAACTAATTCAATCAAAATTTTACATAGTGATAAAACAAACCCAAAGAAAACATATACTTTTAGGATTAAATTAATGAGTCAACTAAAAAATTACTCTTATTTAAAACCCTCACCAAGAGAAAAAAAAAAACTGTAAGGGTAAACTGGGCAAGTTGCTTTGATATTTCTAGGTAAGTTTTCAATACAGAATAAACTAAATGGTCAACTTACCAAAAGGAAAGAAAAAAAAAAAATCAAAAGCAATAATCTCACCATTTTTTTTTTCTGATATGTTTGCCCAAAAAGGATGAGGATGGGGTGGGGTAGAAGCAAAGTTGTTACTGGTCTCTCTGTTCAGCCCTGCTCCAAATTCAGCATCTCACATTTCCCCCTGACTAACAGTGGAGGCGGCAGCAGCAACAACCATTTACATTGTGTACCAGGTAGTTTGATAAGGTCGGTATGTGAGCTACCTCATTTTATCAGCTGTTATTACAAGACTTGCAAACCCAACTATTTCAAAACAGTGCTCCAAAATGCAAGAAAATGATTATTTTTTCATTAATCAGAAAATATCATTAGAGGCCTGATTTTATATTAACATAAAATTCAGTTACTACAGCTAATTTCTCTGCAGAGACCCATCTCAAGCCCAAGTGACGTCCTATAAAGCAGAAGTATAGAACAGGAATGGAAGATACCTGACAACAAAGGGTAACAGGGAGTCCTTGCTCAAGTTGAAGGCAGAACACAGTAAGAAGATAAACTCAGGGGTTAGAAAGAAAGACAAAGGGAAATAGAAGATTAAGCATTAAAAATACTTGTTCACTTGCACAGGAGGCCCTTCCCTCTTCTCTCTGCTCCAAGTAATTCCCATCTTTCAAGGCTCAGCTCAAGTTTCATTTCCTTCCACATCTTTCTTTATTCTACCTGTTGGTGATCCTTCTCTCCTCTCAGCTCTTATGTAATCCCTATTATGAAGCAAATAAATCAATACTTAACTGTGTATTGACTACATTGTTCTCTATTTTTTTTCTGATAAATTTATCTTGTTTCCCTGACTAGAATGGCAGATCCTTAAGAGTAGTGTCCTGATTAATCTCCCACAACTCTAATGCCTACCATAGTGCTCAGCAGAAGGAAATCCAAATCTAACCAAAATCAATTCAAATAGTTCTCTATTTTCATTACTGACTTATTAAAATATTACTTCAAATATTAGTACTAGAATACTAACCTGTACTCAAGACAGAACTTTTAGAAAGAACAGAAATTCATTTTTGTTCAAAAATGGACCAAAAAAGGTACCGTCATGCTGAGCCACTGCTAAAATAAAATTTATTTTTAAAATTTTAGGTATTTCAGCAGGGCCAAAAATTTATGTCAAAAACTTTTAAGCAAAATAAGGATCTGGGACAATAGATAAGAGTATAGGTTTTGATTTGCACTGTTTGGAGAGTATAATTTAAGAAAATAATAGTTTTCTGGACAGATTTTTAAAAATGTAATATAAATGCTATACAGATTTATTGATACAAACATACTGAAAAAAATAATCAGTGAAAAAAGGTGCAATGGAAAAAAAATTGGAATCCATCAAAAAAAATTAGGGTTAATATATACATGTTTTCCTTAACCACTGTGTATTTTTAAACCTAATACTTAGAAAGTCTAAAATAAATTCAGGCATACCTCATTTTATTGTGCTTTACTTTATTGCACTTCACAGATACTGTGTTTTTTAATGGATTGAAGGTTTGTGGCAGCCCTGCATTGAGCAAGGTTATGGGCACCATTTTTCCAAGAGCATTTGCTCACTTCGTGTCTCTGTGTCACATTTTGGTAATTCTCAAAATATTTCAAACTTTTTCATTACTACCATATTTGTTATAGTGACTGATGATCTGTGATCCGTGATCTTTGAGGTAACTATTGTAATTATTTTGGGGTGCCATGAACTATGCCCATATAAGAGGGCGAACTTAATTCATAGATGCTGTGTGTGCTCTGACTGCTCCACTAACAGGCAGTTCTTGTCTCTCTCCCTCTCCTCAGGCCTCCCTATTCCCTGAGACACAACAATATTGAAATTAGGACAATTTATAACCCTACAATGGCCTCTAATGGTTCAAAAGAAAGGAAGAGTTGCAAATCTCTCACTTTAGATCAAAAGCTAGAAATGATTAAGCTCAGTGAGGAAGGCATGTTGAAAATTGAGATAAGCTAAGAGCTAGCCCTCTTGTACCAGACTGTTAGCCAAGTTGTGGATGCAAAGGAAAAGTTCCTGAAGGAAATGAAAAGTGCTACTCCAGTGAACACACAAATGATAAAAAAAGGTGAAACAGCCTTACTGCTGATATGGAGAAAGTTTTAATGATCTGGATAGAAAATCAAACCAGCCACAACATTCCCTTAAGCCAAATCCAGAGCAAGGCCCTAACTCTCTTCAATTCTATGAAGACTGAGAGAGGTGAGGAAGCTGCAGAAGAAAAGTCTGAAGCTAGCAGATGTTGGTTCATGAGGTTCAAGGAAAGAAGCCGTCTCCATAAACACAAAAGTGCAAGGTGAAGCAGCAAGTGCTCATGTAGAAGCTGCAGCAAGTTATCCAGAAGTTCTAGCAATGATCATTAACGAAGGTGACTACACTAAAGAACAGATTTTCAATACAGACCAAACAGCCTTCTACTGGAAGAAGATGCCATTTAGGACTTTCACAGCGAGAGGAGAAGCCAATGCCTGGTTTCAAAGCTTCAAAGGATAGCCTGACTCTCTTGTTAGGGGCTAATGCAGCTGATGACTTTCAGCTGAATACAATGCTAATTTACCATTCCCCAAATCCTAGGACCCTTAAGAATTATGCTAAATCTACTCTGCCTGTGCTCCATAAATGGAACAACAAAGCCTTGATGACAACACATCTGTTTATTATTTTAAGCCCACTGTTGAGAACTACTGCTCAGAAAAAAAGATTCCTTTCAAAATACTATTGCTTGGGGACTTCCCTGGTGGTCCAGTGGTAAAGAATCCACCTTCCAACGCAGGGGATGCAGGTTTGATCCCTGGTCGGGGAACTAGGTTCCCACATGCCACATGGAGCACCTAAGCCCACGCGCCACAACCACTGAGCTTGCGTGCCTCAACTAGAGAGCCCATGTGCCGCAAACTTCAGAGCCCACGTGCCCTGGAACCTGCTCATTGACAATGCACCTGGTTACCCTAGAGCTCTGATGGAGATGTACAACAAGATTCATGTTGTTTTCATGCCTCCTAACACAACATCCATTCTGCAGCCCATGGACTGAGGGGTAATATTGACTTTCAAGTCTTATTCTTTAAGAAACAATTGCATAAGGCTATAGCTGCTGGAGACGGTGATTCCTCTGACGGAGCTGAACAAAGTAAACTGAAAACCATCTGGAAAGGATTCATCATTCTAGATGCCATTAAGTGCATATTTGATTCATGGGAAGAGATCAAAATATCAACATTAACAGAAGTTTGGAAGAAGTTGATTCCAACTCTCATGGATGACTTTGAGGGTTTCAAGACTTCAGTGGAGGAAGTCACTACAGATGTGGTGGAAAGAGCAAGAGAACTAGAATTAGAAGTGGAGCCTGAAGATGTGACTGAATTGCTGCAATCTCATGACAAAACTTGAATGGGTCCAGAGTTGCTTTTTATGGATGAGCAAAGAAAGTGGTTTCTTGAGATGGAATCTACTCCTGGTGAAGATTGTTGAGATGAATACAAAGGATTTACAATATTACATAAACTTAATTGATGAAGCAGTGGCAGGGTTTGAAAACCTGTTTTGAAAACACAAAAAATTGTTGTGTCTCAGGGAATAGGGAGACCTGAGGAGAGGGAGAGAGACAAGAACTGCCTGTTAGTGGAGCAGTCAGAGCACACACAGCATCTATGAATTAAGTTCGCCCTCTTATATGGGCATAGTTCATGGCACCTCAAAATAATTACAATAGTTACCTCAAAGATCACGGATCACAGATCATCAGTCACTATAACAAATATGGTAGTAATGAAAAAGTTTGAAATATTTTGAGAATTACCAAAATGTGACACAGAGACACAAAGTGAGCAAAATTGAAAACCAATTTTGAAAGAAGTTCTACTGTGGGTAAAGTGCTATCAGGCAGCATTGCATGCTGCAGGAAATCATTCATGAAAGGAAGGGCCAATCGATGCAGCAATCTTCACTGTTGTCTTATTTTAAGAAATTGTCACAGCCTCCCCAACCTTTAGCAACCACGACCCTGATCAGTCATCAGCCGTCAATATCAAGGTAAGACCTTCCACCAGCAAAAAAGATTACAACTCACTGAAGGCTCAGATGATGATTAGCATTTTTTAGCAATTTTTTTCTTTTACATTATAGGTTATTGCAAGGTATTGAATATAGTTCCCTGTGCCATACAGTAGGTCCTTGTCATTTACCTATTTTATATATAGTATGTATATCTGTTAATCTCAAACTCCTAATTTATCCCTCCCCCTCTTTCCCTTTGGTAATCATAAGTTTGTTTTCTATGTCTGTGAGTCTGTTTCTGTTTTGTAAATAAGTTTATTTGTGTCATTTTTTTTAGATTTCACATGTAACTGATATCATATGATCTTTGTCTTTCTCTGTCTGACTTACTTCACTTAGTATGTTAATCTCTAGGTCTATCCATGTTGCTGCAAATGGCATTATTTCATTCTTTCTATGTCTGAGTAAGCAATAAAGTATTTTTAAATTAAGGTATGTACATTGTTTTCTTAGACATAATGCTATTGTACACTTAATAGTTTACAGTATAGGGTAAACATAACTTTTATATGCACTGGGAAACCAAAAACTTTGTGTCACTCGCTTTTTTACAATACTAGGTTTATTGCAGTGGTCTGGGACCAAACCCACAATATCTCTGAGGTATGCCTATACGCCAATTAAAAAGAGACTTAAGAAGAAAGTATACAGTGTCTTCACTGTCCCACTGTAGACCAAATTTAAATTGTGCTCCTAGGTAAAATCTGAGCAGACGGTTTGTAAAGCCTAATAAATGCAGAATAAGGGCATTATTTCCATATGACAGCTACAGTAGGAATCTGCATCAAATTAAAGAGTATCTGCCATGACAGAAATGAAAGCTGTGAAAACTACAATAGACATGTTGTATCAATACATTTTACCTGCTTCAAATTATTGGCTATAAAAACCAAATTACTCCTAACTATACAATGCTTGTGTGGTCAATTATCTGTGAGGAAAATATTCAATGTGTGTACACTGATTCTCTTTAATATCCATGTGTTAATTTGCAAATATAGGCCACTCTAAACCATGTAGATGCTTCTCAACAATCAAACTGTGATGAAATTATTTGTTGTTTCCCTCTTAATGTGGCACCTAAAAAGTGTGTTTATGGATGTTAAGTAAATTTATTGTGGTAATCATCTCGCAATATATGTAAGTCGTCATTATGCTGCACACCTTAAACTTATGCAGCACTGTAAGTTTATATCTTTATAATGTCAATTATATCTCAATAAAATAGAAAAAAATCTTAAAAAAAAAAGTGTACGTTCCGGCTTCCCTGGTGGCGCAGTGGTTAAGAATCTGCCTGCCAACTCAGGGGACATGGGCTTGAGCCCTGGTCCGGGAAGATCCCACATGCCGTGGAGCAACTAAGCCCATGTGCCACAACTACTGAGCCTGTGCTCTAGAGCCTGCAAGACACAACTACTGAGCTCATGCGCTACAACTACTGAAGCCCGTGCTCCTAGAGCCCGTCCCGTGCTTGGCAACAAGAGAAGCCACCACAACGAAGAGTAGCCCCTGCTCGCCGCAACTAGAGAAAGCCTGCACGCAGCAATGAAGACCCAATGCAGCCAAAAAAATAAAATAAATAAATAAGACCAGTAGGATATTAGAAATGAAAAAAAGAATTATTAGCAATAGATTATTTATTTTAAAAAGTGTATGTTCAATTCACTTACTTGCAAGATACAAGTTGGGCAATTTTTGCGGGGGAGGGCAATGATTTTAATGTTGATAAATTCAACAAATGATTAAATGTAAGCACTGTTAAGTATTTTTAGTTTTAAGAGCATTCATTAAAGTATAAATATTTCTGTACACTGAAACCAGGGTCACTTTCACTTCATTTAAATAATCTAAAGTTGTTTTATCCTTGTATCTCAGCAGATAGTTTAGCCTAAGTTAAATGCATCCTAAATGTTTTGACAGCTTGGAAATCTGGTTCTGTTATATGGTTTAACTAATGATGTGTTGTCTTGCTCTTTTGGATGGCATTTTTCTTTCATTCATTTCTCAATAACAAAGGAGAATTTAAACAAGCTTATGATTTTAAGAGCTTAATCAAGCCATTTAGGTATGTATCTTGGCAAGTTTAAAATGTTTAATCCTACTTAAGGTTTGACAGACTGACTATGGAATAAACTGCTAAGCAAAAAGAAAAAGGATTTTTTTTCCAAAATTTCACACAAAAATACAGTCTTCGGAATGTTAAAATCTGTTTTAGAAGAATTTAAAAGAAATAAGAAATTCAAATTCTCTTTTATCTTTTTTAAAAGAATTCTCTTATCTTTATATTAAATTATTTAATAAATATTAGAATAAAGTTTACCATCTGAGAGATATTTTTCCTACGTTATAACAAAAATGGGCTAATTTAAAAAAACATTCCACATGTGAAAAAAAAAAAATTTCTTTGCAGCAGGCTTTTCATGAGAGCTTAACCACGCTGAATAAACTAGACCAGATAGAATTCAGGCACTCCAATTCTTACTAGATCTCATCAACAGTTAAGCCCCTGAAGCTATGGTTTCATTAATGGAACAAAGTTTCAAAAATTAAAATGACTAGGACCAAATTGATTTTACGGATTAGAACCAGCCTGATTCTCATGCTTGAGTATCCCCCAAAACATACACACACAATATTGTACAGAAATAAATGGATACATACACCTAGCCAAAGAATTATACTCCATCTAAGGTTTTAGCAGAATTGGTATGCTCTCCTCTCTAGTTAACCAGAAGAGAAACTGAATTTGAAATGCTATTCTAGCTAAGCCTCTTCAAAATAGATACAATGGAGGAAACAGTTTTGCAGAATAAAAGTGCTTTTAATAACACATTGAAATAAAATGGGATACCTTCCCAACAAAAAACAGAGTTAAGAGAAAAAAGACATTAACACAATGAGTTCAATTTTAGTGAGGAGATAAGCAATACACTATATTTTAAACTTACCACAAGAGCAAAGAACACCATAAAGAAAAATGATAAACTACTTGTGTAGCCAAGAAAGCCTGTAAAATAACAGTAAAATAAAAAGCAATTTATAAGGAAAGTGATCCTAACGTGCAGCTAAAGCTATACATCTTGGGCATGTTTTTTATTACAGTGCTTGGTATCTGGGGCTTAGGGTTGAGAATAACAACATTCCAACTATCTGTCACAGATCATTTATGTAGCTCTGTACAGCAGAATTGGAACTGGCTTACCACTAATGGTACACTGTAAGGAAAGGCTGCTCTTTAATGTTCCGTTGTAAAGGTTTTATTTTAGTGGGGCAGACAAAATACTACTGCAAACCAAGTAATAGGTTAACTAGGCAGGGCTGAAAGCTGAACAACCTAAAAGTCCAAGTTCAAAATTATTCACAACCACCTTCTGCTAAAAATGTGGTACTATGAAATTTAAAAGCCCCTTAATAGTATTTTCTTTCTTTCTTTTTCTTTTCTTCTAAACAAATAATGTCCTCTTCTATAAAGACTTACCTATTTTAGGAAGAAGTGCAAGAGGGAACACAATGGCAACACAGATGATTATTAGCAGTGTTTCTCCATCAAGATACCAAGACCTATTAGGAAAAAAAGTTCTATTTTAGGCACAGGACTTCAGTGTTTGCGTTTACACACACACACACACACACACACACACACACACACACACACACACACTCATACAGTATAACCATTACAACCACCCATTAGGAAAAGCCTACTTCTTTTTGTTAAAATATGTTCTTGTGGGATCCTATTATTCTTGTTAATGAATTCACATTTAAAAATGTATCAAAACAATGAGATGCCATTTTTCAACTACCAAATTAGCAAATATTTTAAAGTAAGACAATAGACAATGTGAGTGAAGAGTGATGAGATGTACACAAAACTAGTAAAAGTATAAACTGTGTAAATTACCTTTCTGGAAAGCAGTTTGGCAATAGATACTGAGAGACTTAAGATATTTGACACTTAACAAATGACTATTAAAAATAGAAAACAATCATCAATAAGAACATTTTTGTAAAAAGATGTTTACTGAAAACATTTAAAATAATGAAAATTGGAAACAAACATCTAAGACCATGACAATTTTAAAATAAATTATGAGACTATGGGACAATCATAAAAAAACATTTTATAAGTATAATAATATACTGAATATATCATAAATATATTTAGTATGATAACAAGTTTGAGGGAAAATATAGATTCATTAAAAATGGAAAGGAACTGCAATATATTGATAGCCATTATCCCTGGGTGGTAGAATGATGGGTACTTTTTCTTCTTTATAGTTTTCCATATTTTTCAAATTTTCAGGAAAGGGCATGAACTACCAGGAGAAAACATATGACATTTTTCATATAAAGGCAATAGAATAATGAATGAGAAAAGGTAGATTAAAAGTGTGATAGTGTATTTGATTATTTTAAAAAAATGGATGCACATTTTAAAAAAGTAAGAAAGATATACTTAAAATACCAAAAGTGGATATTTCTATGTAGCAGCATCGAGAAATTTTTATTTTATTTACTGGTTGCATATACATGGTTTTAATTTTTCAATATAAAAATACATGTGTTGAAGTTTTTAAAAATTAGACAATTCCCCCAAGACTTTAATAGTAAAGACTTTGCTTTAGTACATAAAAATTAAACAATTCATGAAAGAAGTACAACTAGTAAATACATATGAAGAAAAACCCAATCTCTGGTGCTAATTAAAGAAATAAATAATAAGGCTATAGAAATTAAATGAGTAAAAATATTAAAAAAATAATATTCAAGGATGTGGAATAATTGGTCCTTCACACATTGCTAGTGATCTTGTCAATTAGCATTATCTTTTGGAAAAACCTTGATAATATGTACAAAGGACAATAAAAATGTGGAAATCTACTCTAAGAGAATAATCTAAAATATAAAGAATTCTATGTGCATGAAGCTGTGACTACAACATTATTATAATATTAGAAAGTTGAGGGACAATCCTATATATCTAACAATAGAAAATGCTTATGTCAAAAACAGCACACTTTTTAAAAAAAATTTTATTGGATATATGTACATGTATAACTGATTCATTTTGCTGTACACCTGAAACTAACACATTGTAAATCAACTATAATCCAATAAAATTTTTTAAAAAAAAGCACACCCAATGGAATGTTAAGCAGCTTTTGAAAAAAACATTTAGTAAAATAGAAAATACTAATGATAGAAATACAAAATAAATATTATTAACTATGTTTGAAAAAATGCTTTTTGGGAAAAATTCAAAGGAAATAAAATGATAACAGTGATTAGGTAATTGCATAATTTTAATTTGCTTTCTCTTCTAAATTTTCTGCAATGTAGCTGTCATATTTTTACACTGAAACATATGCATATATACTTATGCATATGGTAACATATATGCACAATGGTAACAAAGTAAAATTCATGCTAATATGAGAGCTGGGAGCATCAAAGACAATAGGTATTACTTTTTCAAGTCATTTGGTAGATGCTCTCAGAATTTCCAATTGGCTATAATGTATCCTTTCACTACCAGAGAGCCAAAGTCTCCCACTGCCTGTTAAATTAAGAAAATGGACAGGACAAATTCCTAGAAATGTACAATATATCAAGACTGAATTAGGAAGAACTAAAAAATACAAACAGACCAATAATGAGTAAGAACACTGAATCAGTAATCAAAAACCCACCAACAAAGAAAAGCCCAGGACCCATGGTTTTATTGGTGAATTCTACCAAACATTTCAAGAAAAATTAATGCCACTACTTCTCAAACTCTTCCCCAAAATTGGAGTGGAGCAAAAACTCCCAAACTCATTTTATGAGGCCAGCATACCCTACTATCAAAGCCACATAAGGACATTGCAAAAAAAACAAAACTACAGACCAATAATCCTGGTGAATATATTATAAAAATTCTCAACAAAATATTAGCAAACTGAATTCAACAGCACATTAAAAGGATCATACACTATGGTCAAATGAGATTTATCCACGGGATGCAAGGGTGGATCAACATATGAAAATCAATCAACATGATATAGCACATTAATAGAATGAAAGATAAAAATCATATGATCATCTCAATAGCTGCAAAAAACAGCATGTGACAAAATACAATATCCCTTCATGATAAAAACCTTCAACAAATTTGATATAGAGGGAACAAATCTCAATATAATAAAGGCTATAGGTTGAAGGCTTCTTCTCTAAGATCAGGAACAAGACCGGGGTGCCTACTCTTACCACTCTTATTCAACATAGTTGAATAGTTATTCCACTCTTATTCAACATGGAAGTCCTAGCTAGAGCAATCAGGCAAGAGAAAGAAATAAATGGCATACAAATTGGAAAAGAAGTAAATCTGTCTTTATTTGTGGATATGGTCTTATATATAGAAAATCCTGAAGACTGCAACCAAAAAACTGTTAGAGCTAATCAACAAATTATGTAAAGTTGAAGGATACAAAATCAACATACAGAAATCAGTTGTGTTTTTATAAACTAACAAAGAAATATCTGAAAAAGAAATAAAGAAAACAATCCCGTTCACAATAGCATGAAAGCAATAAAACTTATGACTATTTAACAAAGGAAGTGAAAGATTAGTACACTGAAAACTATAAGGCTTAAATGAAAGAAACTGAAGACACAGACAAATGGAAAGATATCCAGTCTGTGTTCATGGATCAGAAGAATCAATAGTGTTAAAATGTCCATACTATCCAAAGCTATCTATAGAGTCAATGCAATCGCTATCAAATTCCAATGACATTATTTCCCAAAATAGAACAATCCTAAAATTTGTATGGAACCACAAAAGACTCCAAATAGCCAAAGCAATCCTGAGAAAGAAAACACAGCTGACTTCAAACTATACTACAAAGCTTTAGTAATCAAAACAATATAGTACTGGCATACAAATAGACACACAGACCAACAGAACAGACTAGAGAGCCTAGGAATACCCCCTCCCCACCCCATATACTGTCAACTAATATTCAACAAAGGATCCAAGAATATTCAGTGGGGAAAGAAGTCTTTTCAATAAATTGTACTGGGAAAATTGGATAGCCATATACAGAAAAATGAAACCTATCTTACAGCATTCACAAAAATTAACTTGAAATAGATTAAAGACTTAAATGTAAGACCTGAAACCATAAAACTTATAGAAGAAAACATAAGGAAAAAGCTTCTTGACATTGGTCGTGGCAACAGTTTTTTTTTTAATACGACACCAAAAGCACAAGCAACAAAAGCAAAAATGAAAGGAACTACATCAAAATAAAAAGCTTCTGTACAGCAAAAGAAACAATCAACAAAATGAAAAGGCAATCTACGGAATGGAAGAAAATATTTCCAAATCATATATCTGATAAGAGACTAATATTCAAAATACATAAAGAACTCACACAGTTCAATAGCAAAAAATCAAACAATCCAATTTTAAAATGGGCAGAGGAAATAGACATTTTTTTTCTCCAAAGAAGATATATGAATGGCCAATAGGTATGTGAAAAGATGATCAACATCTCTAATCATCAGGGAAATACAAATCAAAAGCACAATGAAATACCACCTCACACCTGTTAGTATAGGTATCATCAAAAAGACAAGAGAGGGACTTCCCTGGCAGTCCAGTGGTTAAGTCTTCGCCTTCTAATGCAGGGGGTGCAGGTTCGATCCCTGGTCAGGGAGCTAAGATCCCAAATGCCTCGCGGCCAAAAAACCAAAATATAAAACAGAAGCAATACTGTAACAAATTCAATAAAGACTTTAAAAATGATCCACATCAAAAAAAATCTTAAAAAAAAAGACAAGAGATAACAAGTATTGACAAGGATATGGAGAAAAGGGAAGACTTGTGCACTGTTGGTGGGAATGTGAATTGGTTCAGTCACTATGGAAGACAGTATGTTGGTTCCTCAAAAAATTAAAAACAGAACTACCATATGATTGGTCCAACAATCCCACTTCTGGGCATACATCTAAAGGAAATTAAAACAGGATATCAAGAAGATATCTGTACTCCCATGTTTATTGCAGCATTATTCACAATAGTCAAGATATGGAAACAACCTAAGTGTCTGTCAATGGATGAATCGATAAAGAAGATGTGGTGCACACACGCACACACGATGGAATATTATTCACTCATGAGAAAGAAAGAAATTTTGCCATTTGTGATAACATCAATAGACCAACGTGAGCATTATGCTAAGTGAGATAAGTCAGACAGAAAAAGACAAATACTGTGTATCACATATTTGTGGAATCTAAAAAAGCTGAACTTGTAGAAACAGAGTAGAATGGTGGTTAGCAGGGGCTGGTGGGTAGGGGGACTGAGGAGATGTTGATCAAATGGTACAGACTTGCAGGTAGAGGATGAATAAGTTCTGGGAATCTAATGCAAAGCAACGTGATTATAGTTAACATAACTATTTTATATACTTGGAAGTTGCTAAGAGACTGGATGTTAAATATTCTCACTACAGAAAAGAAATGATAAGTACATAAGGTAATGGAGGTATTAGCTAACACTACAGTGGTAA